TGCTTCAAGGTGCTGGTTATGACCTTTAAAGCCCTTTATGGTCTGGGGCCTGCCTACCTGCGGGTCCGCCTTTCCCCGTATGTTCCCCCAAGAGCACTGAGATCTGAGTTGCAGAATCATTTAGTCCCCCCTGGCCCTAGGGATGCTAAGTTAACAGCAACAAGAACCAGGGCGTTTTCCCTAGCTGCACCAGTATGGTGGAATCAGCTCCCGAACAAAATCCGCGCTCTGCGGGATCTCCACCAATTCCACAGAGCGGTAAAGACTGAGCTATTCCGTCAAGCGTTTAACAGCCCAGATCAATCACTCTAGCACTTTATATGGACGGCCGCCATGCACAAACTGTAATGCTCTAATTGTAATTTTATTGTTTGTAAGTTATATTGGCTGTTTTATTGACTGTTTTTAGATGTATTGTATTAATCTTTACTGGTTTTTAATTGTTGTAAGCCGCCCTGAGCCGCTTCAGCGGGAGGGCGGGATAAAAATCTAATAAATAAATAAATAAATAAGTGATTTTCAAGCTGTGCTCCTTCCTTAAACGAGGTCGTTGTCCCTGAATGACGGCTTGTCCAGCATTCCCAGCATTCTCCTGAAACATACAGCTGCCGGGTGGTGCAGGATGCATTTTAGGGCATTTGGGGTAACCACGAGACCACTGGTCTAGACAGAAATAAATAAATAAGTGATTTTCAAGCTGTGCTCCTTCCTTAAACGAGGTCGTTGTCCCTGAATGACGGCTTGTCCAGCATTCCCAGCATTCTCCTGAAACATACAGCTGCCGGGTGGTGCAGGATGCATTTTAGGGCATTTGGGGTAACCACGAGACCACTGGTCTAGACAGAAAGCCACTCATAGACAATATGGACTGTCTACCCTGGGCTCCTTTACTTTTGTAAAAGAGATAAGTAGAAATTGATTTTTAGCTTCCAATCATGTTCAGATGTTTGGATTTAAAATTATTTTTCCGTATTCACATTGCAGATGATAAATCAGCCCCAGCCCTTCCGCCCAACTGGATTGTGAACTGGAGTTGCCTGCATATACTTATCACATTTTATCAAGAGGTTTTCTAAACTATATAAACGGTTAACTGGCAGCCAGTAGGGGAACAAGTAGATTTGACCTTTTTGGCAGTCGTATCTGGCCCGTACCACTCGCAGACTTTTTTAAACAAACTGTATGATTATACAGCGAAGGGTAAACTTACTCATTACTAAATGACATTACAAATGTCTTGTGTTCTCTTCAGGAAATCAAGATAAACTTTTTTGTCTTGAGTTCCTCAAAGGCCGATTGAGACATCTCACGTCAACCACACCTCTCAGGCTACAACACGACATTTCAACAGAAAATGGGCCGGTGGCTTCAAAGACATTCTCCATTCTCATACAGACTGGCCCACATCAGTCCCACACTGTTTACCAGGTACCCAAAGGCTGGGCTGTGTGAACTCCAGGATACATGCAGGCATCACATCTGCATAGTATTAGCTGCTGGGTACAGAATCTAAGATAAGCTTATGTTATTACTTACTTTACATCTTACCTTGCCTGCTAAGGGGCTCTGAGTAGCGTTTTGGCCCGCGGGGTTGGTTGGGCAGAGACACAGTGACAGGCCTAAAACCAGCCAGCAAGCTTCATGTCCAAGAAGAGATTTCAGAATGAGATTCCTACATCCACATCCTAGCCACTATATAACACTATCATCTCCAAAGGTGGGGGAGATCACAAAATTTCAAATGGTTGAGCAGCAAAGCTTCTCCATGCCGCAAAACATGCAGCCACTCTCCATGACAAAGGTGAGCAGAAGAAACACTGTGAGATACATCTATATCAAATAGGTTGTTTTTCTTGGCATGGAATATACATTACTTTTGTCCAAATTTACATTTTTGAATTAATGCTTGTCCAAGCCCCACTAAAGCCTCCCACATTAAGTGGAGAAAGTGGGTTAAAAGTACCCAAATAAATAAAAATAAAGGTTAAAGAAGAGTAGCATGTGAGCTTGGATCCATATTGTACTTCTGTTCTTCAAAGAGGGAGGACAAGGTCTACCAGTTCCCCTTCCCTGCTGTAGCCGCCCCCACCCAATGCAATGCCATTTTCAAAGGTTTTCCCATTTTCAAAAGTGGCTTTCGGGGAGGGGGGGGTGCAGGAGATGGCAGTAGTAAGATGGAAAGCAAAGTTCCACAAACAGAGTTCAGTTTATGGCCAGTGGGATCCAAGCCCAACAACTGCTATGCCATTGACAGCCACGGACAGACCTATCAAAAGCCATCATAACATCCTCTAGTAATAAATTCTATAATGAATTAAATACGTGTTGCATGCAATACTTCTTTTCTCTCTCCTAAATCTACTGCCAAGCAATTTCATCGGATGACTCTCAGGATCTGGCAGACTATGGATGATTTCTCTGCCAGCAGAAATCTCAGACATCACGGAGACACCCTGAACTATTCGTGCCTTGCAGGAACTGGCTCTCTTGAATAATAAGGTGGGAACAGGCCGTATAGAAAATGGGAAATTCCAAGACGTGGGAAATGTGGAAACACCCAGCGCAAGGTGATGACTTAGGGAATTGCTGTCAGAAATACTGATCTGCTAGCTGGATTCTGGGATATCAGGATTCAAATGCAGTTAGCAATGTAGCAAAGATAAATTTTAAAAAAAAGAATTACAGTGCCTAGTTCAAATGTAAAGGTGCTAAATGTGAAGACTGAAAAATAACTTATTTTTTTTCCAAGTGTGAAACTGACAATTGGACTTACTTGATATAGAAAATACAAATGAGACATTGATCAAAATCCAACTATCCTCTTACTCATCCTTGAAAAAAGAAAACCTTACATACATACTTTAACTCCCTGTCACATTACTCATCGGCATGAGGAAGTTCCAGAAATGCATTAAAACCTGAAATGCTTTTAAAAAAAGGTGATTTAAAGAAAAATTAGATCTTGTGTTGCTACGTTGTGAGATCTTGGCTGCCATTTTGGTGGTTGCATAGCAACCTCACTAAACAATGTTGAGGTGTGCAATGGTCTTATCAGTGGGAGGGGGAGACTAGCTTGGGGGGGGAGGCAGCAGCAGCTATAGCTGAGGAGTAGGAAGCTAGCAGTGTGTGTGTGTGTGTGTGTGTGTGTGTGTGTGAGAGAGAGAGAGAGAGGTGTGTGTGTGTGTGTGTGTGTGTGTGTGAGAGAGAGAGAGAGAGAGAGAGAGAGAGAGAGAGATCGCAACAGGGGTGTTTCTGATAGATAGAAACCGAGAAAAAGGAAAAGGTGGCAGGGGAGGCAGGGGCAGCAGCAACCAGAGGAGGAAGACATGGTGGAAGAGTTGGAAGAAGAAGAGAAGAGTCTCAGAGCGGCTCACAAACTCCTTTCCCTTCCCCTCCCCACAACAGACACCCTGTGAGGGAGGCGGGGCTGAGAGAGCTCTGACAGAATCTGCTCTTTTTCAAGCACAGCTCTTATCAGAACTATGGCTTGCCCAAGGCCATCCAGCCAGGTGCAAGTGGAGAAGTGGGGAATCAAACCCGGTTCTCCCAGATTAGAGTCCGCGCACTTAACCACTACACCAGACTGGATCTTGGGTGGGGGAGAAAGAGGCAGAAAGAGGAGAAATAAGAGTGGAGGCAGCAGTGGGGAAGTAAGAGCCAGCAGGCCTGTTTATATGCGTTTGTGTCCATGTGTGTTTGCAGACCTTGTGCCTTAGTGTAATTTTGCCTCTAGCCTATGGAGTTGTGGGGCAGGAAATAATGCTTAGAAGGAGGGCAAACAGGGTTCAGGTTGATTCTTAGCCACATACCCACCTACACTTGCCTGGGAAAGTCACATAACCTCCCTTTAATTACTTGTGCAGTGAGTGGCCACCCGTGCTATTAAGTATGGCTCGTGTCACCGTGATCCTCGGCCCGGTATGATAAACACGGGAGATCTGACCTTCACCTAGAGAGTGATGATGGTTTCTTTCTGTATTCTTTTCCCATTTCCCAGAAAGATGTACGTGGTCATTTCTGTGAAGGCTTAACAGAGTGATCATTTTTAACACCACAGCCCATCAGAGACCCTGCTTACCTGGTGGAGAAAGATTTGATAAGAAACATAACCCCTGTTACGTTACCTGCTGAAACATTAACAAACACACATGAATATACACCATCCTCCGCTGGGAGAGTGTCACATGATATCGGAAGGTGCCCCTCTTTCAAATGAATCCAACATAGATCTTTCAGGGCCTCACAAAATCCCCGGCACGGTGGAGGTGTTATTGGAAGAGAAGTGTTACACCCAGGCACCAGTAGCAAGCAGAAAAACCACTCCAAGTAGCGGTGACACCGAGATTTAAGAAGCCCCTCCCACTCATGCAAAGCAGCCCGAATTTCCTCCTCACTGCCATGATGCAAATAATTCGGCACTCGGAAATGCTTCATGCCCAGGTTGTTGCAATATGACAGCTTGGCCGGCAAGGGTAAGCAGTGGCCCACTGCTGGAGTCAATCCAGAAAAGAAGGAAGGAAGCCCTGCACTGCTATTGCTAAAATGCTGCATAGTGTAGGTTAGTAGAAACTCAAGAGATTCAGAGTTACTGGCAGGGGGGGAATCCAGAACATTAGTTGCATTTGAATTAGAAACAGAATCACTAGAGTAGCCTACTGGTATCCCAGGATGCTGAAAGGGGAGTTTTTTAAGGCTGAGATGGGCACTGCTGCCTTCAGAGGCTGATTGGTCTGAATTTGCAACATAAAGGGACAGCCAGTGGTCTGAAGCCCCCGTCACCTTGGGTGTAATTCCAACATGCAGGCTGCTATTCGCCTGAGGCTTCTGCACTTCCAGATCATTTGCACGGGATGCAATTCCTCCTTTTTCTGAGAAACCTCCCTGGTCTGCCCTTCGTTCTGGAGCTTTGGCACCTTCTTGCCCTGCATGTGTGGATTCTTGAAAAGCCAGCACATCCCAGCTGGCTCGGTCATCTGATGAAAACGAGAAAGCGGCACTACCTGGGCGTGGTGTCTCAGGCGTCTTTAATGGAACTTGAGTCTTGTTCAACGGAAATTCGGGCTTTGTAGTCGCTGAGAGAGCAACGTGAGGCTGCTCAGTTTCCAGTAAGATCTGCACATCACCCGTCACGTTGGCAGTTACATTCTGGACAGCAGTGAGCTCCACAGCATGAAGAGAGGAAGCTTCCAAAAACCCAGCTGTCACCGATGCCTCAGTCCTCTGTGTCCCTTCGGTTGTCTTTTTATCCCATTGCTGAACCAGACTCCGAATCCCTTCAGCCACACTGAGTATCTCAGCCCCGACCCCTGCGATAGTCCCCTCTCGGCCTCCCAGCTCAGAAGGTGACGCAGTAGCTGTGGTGGGGACAGTTGTGCTTGCAGGCAGGTCTGGCCTCTTGAGGGTAAATATATTCCATACGTGTCCCGTTTGCTGTGTGGTACTTTCTGGGGGGATGTCCAAGGTGGTCGCTTCGGATGTGGTTACTCGATGTGTCGTCTGGTCCTCGGTATCGACAGCCTTTGTGGGAGGGAGGGTTGTTTTCTCTGAACTCCCCCAAAGCCAACTCCTCCAGCCCTGGGCATCTGATAAGCTACAGGTCAGCAACAGCAGGAGTCCGATATTCTGCACAGCTCGAGCCATTAAAAGGTTGCTTGCGGGGGGAAGGAGTATGCTGCGCAGCAGTGAGTGGTGAGTGGAAGAATTCGCATTGATCTGTCCTCGGGAGCTCTGAGGCTGGGAAGCACGCCGCTCTCTTCCAAGCAGATGCAAGGCTAGCGGAGGCGTGGCTCACAAAGTCCTCCCTCCGGCAGCCTCGGCTTCCCAGTTCATCCCAAACTTGCTGCGTCAGCCTGTCATGCTCTTGGCAGCAAGAGAGGCGGGAGTTACGTGCACACCTGCTGGCTTATTTGCACCCATATGAAGGTGCTAGCAACATTTCAAGGTTTAAGCCTGTCGCTGTCCCCCCAGCCCCCAAGCACATCAAGATTATTTTGGCACACTAAACAAACTTCTTCCTGCCCTCAACTGATAGTAGCAACTTGGCAAAGAGAACTTTCTCCTCTGTGGCTGTTTATGTGTAATTTCCTTGACTTAAATCATTAGCAGCACTATTGACAGCACAGACTCTCTCCTTCAGGGAGATTACCCATGGGAAAGAAACAGAGAAATTGAAGTAGCAAAATCTGTGCAACGTGGTAAACTTACTCCACTCACATAACAGCCAGAGAAAGAATTTATCTTTTAACTGGCTTATTCTACACATTTTGTCTTCCACTTCCAGTTAAATTGATAATACCGGGCATGATCCAGCCACAGTTCAGCAAACTCAAATGATTTTAAAGGAAGAGTTAAGCACACGCTTAAATATCCTCCTGTTGAAATGAATGAGACTAGACTGTGTCCACAGTTCTCAGGACTTGATACAAATGGGATATCTAAAAAACGTCCCAATGTGAGTAAGCACCAACACATTTCTTAGGCTTCATAATCCAGCCAGGCAAAGAAGAAGAAGAAGAAGAAGAAGAAAAGAGCTGTGGGGGGGAATGTCTTCTTGTTATCTCCTGCCTGCATAAGAAAAGCTGCAGCAGACGACACAATTCTATGCACACCTGAGAATAAATCCCACTGAACTGAGTGGGACTTGCTCATGAGTAGACATGCACACAATCGGCCTACAGAGAGGACAGGAAGCAGCAAAAAAATTCCCTTCCTGCACACCAAGCTTCTGAGGGGCTGACTGACAGTGGAGTGGGAATGAAAGCCGCCTACACAACGAAAAAGCTGCACATATTCATACTGCGCAAGGCAAATTAAAAGGGGGCACTTTGTATCCTGCTGACCCGCAGCTGCTTTCAAAGAATCTGTTGGGCAGGGGAGAGGGGTTCACAACAGCAAGGTATGTTCACTAGGCCAGTGCTCTTCAAACCCCGGGTCAGGAAACTTTGGGTGAATGGCAGGGCCCCAACGCCTCAGCCATAAGCGCCTTTAGAGCTGTGCACATGCATAGAAAACAAAGGTATCCTTTCACACACCTCCCTCTTCTTAGCACACATTGCTGAGAGGAGCAGTAGGGTGGTGAGGGGAGGTGACTCTGTGGTGCATAACCAGGACCTCGCCTCTTTTTGTCATGTGACTTCCTGTAATGTGCTTGCAATTCAGTGAGTTCCATGCTGCCATCTTTTGTTTAAAGGTGAGTCCCAGCTCTGAAGTTGCATTAGACTGACAGAACTAAACCCCATTTGTACAACTGTATGCATACAGAGCAGTCTCGGCACAAAAGAACTTACGGAGGTTCCTGGACATAGGGAGAAAACGCAGCACATTTAAAGCTGGACCTGCATAGACTTCATGCAGAAGTTGAACTGAAAATGTTTCATTACACGTATTTACTCACCTTGCATAGAAAGACTCAACAGTCTGGGATAGGTCGGCAATGGGACCTGCCACTGTGATCCCGCCCCCATTTCTGTCAGCAAGCTGCCATGGTGTTCTGTGTTGCTGGTACCTCTGTACAGTTGCTTCCCCCCCCCCCTGCCTGTGCGCTATTATTTTACTCTGCTGTAATGCCTAAGCCAAACAACTGGAGGATGTATTGGGGGAGTTCGCTTCACTGCCAGCTTGTTGCTTTTAGAGCCTGGGAACTGCACCTGTGTTATGTCTGGGGATAGCCTGGTTCTCAGGGAATGAGCGCGAAACCGTTTCCCTTCACCCGCCAGCGGGAAAGTGACCCATTGGTTCTGTACCTGTTTCAAATCCCTTTATTATGCTTGCTCTAACCGTTTGTAGTCAGTTCTAACAAAGAACGTGTTTGAGTGTCTTTCCAACGCTTTGAAATAAATTTTGCTTTTCTTTAAAACGTGGATTTATTCTCGATGCTTGGGGATCCAACAATTTCAAAGTGTGCATCCTTTCCCTTTCCCTAGAACAGGGTCTGAAAGGGGGGGGGGGATCATGCTTCAGAACAGAGAGTGAGTATAAATGGGCAGTTCTCTCAGTGGAGGGGGGTAAGCAGTGGGGTACCGCAGGGATCAGTACTTGGTCCACCGCTTTTTAACTTGTTCATTAATGATTTGGAGTTGGGAGTAAGCAGTGAAGTGGCTAAATTTGCAGATGATACGAAGTTGTTCAGGGTGGTGAAAACCAGTGAGGATTGTGAGGCACTCCAAAGGGATCTGTCAAAGATGGGCAAGTGGGTGTCAACATGGCAAATGGGGTTCAATGTGGCCAAGTGCAAGGTGATGTACATTGGAGCCAAAAATCCTAAATATAAATACACAGTGATGGGGTCTGAACTGGCAGAGACTGAGCAAGAGAGAGATCTTGGAGTTGTAGTAGATAACTCACTGAAAATGTCGAGACAGTGTGTGACTGCAATAAAGAAGGCCAATGCTATGCTGGGGATTATTAGGAAGGGTATTGAAAACAGATCAGCCAATATAATAATGCCCCTATATAAATCAATGGTGCGACCTCATCTGGAATACTGTGTGCAATTCTGGTCACCACACCTGAAAAAGGATATTATAGCTTTGGAAAAAGTGCAGAAAAGAGCAACTCGAATGATAAAAGGGTTGGAACACTTTCCCTATGAGGAAAGGTTAAAGCGCTTAGGGCTCTTTAGCTTGGAGAAACGACGACTGAGGGGTGACATGATTGAGGTTTATAAGATTATGCATGGGAAAGAGCAGGTAGAGAAAGAGGTACTTTTCTCCCTTTCTCACAATACAAGAACCCGTGGGCACTCCATGAAATTGCTGAGCGGTCGGGTTAGAACGGATAAAAGGAAGTACTTCTTCACCCAAAGAGTGATTAACACATGGAATTCACTGCCACAGGAAGTGGTGGCGGCTACAAGCATGGACGGCTTCAAAAGGGAATTAGATAAGCATATGGAGCAGAGGTCCATCAGTGGCTATTAGCCACAAGGTATAGTACCGCCCTAACCCCCGAAGGGGTCTCTGGGCGGTTCACATTATGCTGTTCTAAGAACTGCTGTACCTATCTAGGGCCACATCTGAATTTGGGGTGGGACTTCCTACCGGCACCCTGGTGGAATATGCACTCCTTCTATTTTTCTTCTGGCTCGGCTCGCCTTGATGTTCCTCGGCTGTCCTCGGCTGCTGGCGTGGCGTCCCTTCCGGCTTCCGATCTTTCATTCTCTGGCAACCACAGCAGCCACGACAGCTTTCCCTCGGCTCTCCCTTGGCGCATGGCTTCCTGATGCTCCGGCCGGCTACGTCCATCAGGCCCCGCCTTCTGCCTCCACGTCATTCGTCGAGCGCCTCCAGGGTTCTGCCGCTGCTGCCGTCGCCGCTTGGTGCTCGATGTCTTCCTCGGCCGCCAGGGATCGCTCTGCTTCGCACCGCCTCTTAGCTCCGCCAGCACACCTCCGCCTCCGCCAGCCACCCGGCGTTCTCTGCTCCGCCATCGTCCTCCACATCACCATCCTCACACCGCCGTCTGCACAACCACCATGCCTCTTTTATCGTCAGAGGTGGGTGCCCCCTGCCCATCTATGGGCAGGTACCCATTCGTCTACTTGCCGTAGTTGTTAATTGGCTTTCGACCCGCTGGGCTGGTATTTCTGGCCACTGTGTGATACAGAGTGTTGGACTGGATGGGCCTTTGGCCTGATCCAACATTGGCATCTCTTATGTTCTTATGTTCTTATGTT